TATATATATATATATATATATATATATATATATATATATATATATTTAAGAGCTCTGCAATATATACACACAAAAACACACACCTATAAGCTGTACATCAAGAAAATCAGTAATAAAGCAGTTTTATCTAAAAAACAAACTTGAATAATAATTGAAGTTACGCGCTCTTCATCTTCTGTTCAACACTGGTTTTATCTTCTATACAGCTGATTCAACGATACTTCCTATATTCTTTAAACCAAAAGTATCGGTATCGATTTTTGCTCACGAGCCTCGATGTTATGAATAATTGTCATCACCTAACCAGCGAAGATTCATCTGCTCGCCGTTCATATATTTAAAGAGGTGTATAATTACCAAACTACTTACATTAACAGCTCAAAGTACACAAATATATACAAGGCGTTAATAAAGTGGACAACCATGATTGTTTCGCGATTAGCGTATCCCCTCAATGGAGCTCTACGACAATTAGCCCAACAAGCTGCCCGCAACAATAACAACATTGTTCGTCGTCAGATGTCGGGCATAGTTTACCGTAGCGGTGCCTTCAAGCCAAAACCTGAGGAGATGCCCTTCGGATTGTTTGCCATACTATGTGCTGTGATTCCTGGACTCTTTGTGGGGGCCACCATCAGCAAGAACGTGGCGAACTTTCTAGAAGAAAATGATTTGTTTGTGCCATCCGATGACGACGATGATGAGGACTAAGTGTGAGCAACGGGAGACATAAATGAAGCAAGCTCTAGTCAGAATTGGATAAGACAACATCTTAGAATCTGCTTGCCTCAGTTAACACGACAAACCAAAAACTTTACTCACTTTAACATTTTGCATTGTTACTACCGTAGCTCTAAGATTAAAGATTCAATTTTTTGTACCTCTGCTATTTCGAATCCAATTTTAAAAGAAATCTACAAATACTTCAGATATTTATTTAAATATGATTTAAAACTTAATAACTGCTAGGTTCTCTCAATAATAGACGATTGTTATAGCAAAATTAAATAAAATTGTTGAAAAACTAAGCGGTTTACATGTGGTATTTGTTATATAAAACTCGCGAATGATATAAAAATAACTGAATATACATATAGATTCATACGCACAGTTCGATTTGTGCGATCCAAATAAGGGTGATACAGCCATTACCCAAGATTAAGGTCCCAGCTTGGCGCACTTAGTTAATTGAAATTGATTTCCGTTATGCCGAAGTGGTACTGTAACTAATTTAATAATTTTATGCTTAAGCTAAATTAATAATTTGACTTCTTACATCCGAATGATCTTAATTTATTATTATTTTATTTATTATTATTATTTTAAGCTTTTCAAATATTTGCCCAAGATCAATCTCCCTTTTCCCAGCTAAATTAATTGAAATGAATTAGCTTAGTGTTTTGCCGAAGTGGAATTTTATTTAATTAAATTTTCAGGGTGTACAAAGTTGTGGCTGTTAATTTGTTAATTTTGTCGACTGCTTGCACTGTGCAGACGCCGCTGCTAAGATTGATTTGAATATTATGTTTATTTGACAATGTTTGCCGTGCAAGTGCACAGCTTACAAGGAGCAATCCAATCAGTTAACAAACAGTTTGGAATTATACAAATTAGTTGCTTAATATATATCTGTAATATATATTATGTATTCAAGTGTGTGTGGGGGTGATTCTGTAATTATATTTGATAAAAAGTAAGTTTTGGTTCGACTCTTCAGCAATATCATCACAAAAAAAAAGAACAATCTGATTATTCCAAATCGGGTTTTGACTTTTTAATATTTTTTTTTTTTTAAGTTTGTAATATTTTTTGCAGCAGTTTGCGTATAAATGTTTTTTTTTTCTTGTTTTGCAATTTTTTCAAATGTTTTTTGTATTTTTTCACTTTATTTAATAAAAAAATATGAATTTCACTTCATGCGCTACATGGGCATGACCTCTTCTTTTTATTTTGCTTTAATATACTCGTATGTATGGTGTAAAAACATCTAACAAAAGGCTGAACGCAAATAATAAAAAATAACTTGGCGTCCCGCTTGTTTTTATATTGTTTGCTGTTGTTTTAATATATGTATATATATATTTGCAAGGTGTAATTTTTTTTATTATTTTTAATTCATTTTTTATTAAACATAAAAATTTTGCTTGATCGCACTTCTTCCATCAAACTCTACTTTTCACGTTTGTTCCGCGCTTTAGCGCCCTCATGTTTTCGTGAACTATTCATATATGATATATATATGCATATATGTACATACTTTTTTTTTGTTTTTACATAGATTTTGCAATTTTTTTGTATATTTTTTTATATTTTACGTTTGTTTGTTTTTTTTTTTAATTGTATCTTTCTCTCAACGTATTGATTACTGTTGTTTTCAAAGTAGCAAAAACTTGATTCTCATATTTTTGCGGTTTGTTGGTTGTTTTGTGTTTTACCTTTTTTTTCTCCTGTTTTAGCTCTATACCTCTCTTGTTTACTTTTTCATTTTTTCGTTTTTATTTATTTTAACAATTTTTGCAATTTTTTTGTTTTATTTTTTTCATCTTTTTTAAAAGTAGCTCTTTTCTGTTGAAATGACAGAAAAATGATTACATTTGACTTTCATATTTGTTTGGATGTTGAAAAGTGTGAAAAATAAGTGTGTGAAAATTATTTCAAAGGTTTTTTTATAGATGTAACAAGAAACTGGCCGATAAGGCTGAACATATCAATTTGCCTGATTTTGCATTTATAATCATTTATTTTGCATTTATACGCATACAAAATAAATATTTCAGTTTAAGAAAAAATTAATTTTTGAATATATAGATATATATACGTATAGATGCATACATATGCATGCATATATAAATGTAGATATGTACACACATATATATAAACATATGTATATATAAATATATATATATATGGAAAGTGTTTTAATATACACATTTTTCAGTGTGTGTGTGTGTGTGGTGTGTTTTTTCTTTTTTCATTTTAGTTTGAAAAATCCAAAAGAATGAAAAATATATATGTATATATATATGTAAAAAACATCTGCGCCTGTTGCATGTTTTCTTGTTGTAAGCAGGTAGCTGATTCCCTCTGCGATGTGTTCTTGCGTTAAATGCGTTCGAAATTAAATGATTGAAATTGATATTATTTGTCGTTGCCCTATCGGTATTGAATAGATACTCGGTTTCTCTCTTATTCATTAGCCATTCAAGTTTGTTGTTCATCTTGTTTTTGTTGTTGTGTTATTCGCTGCGTTTTTTCTTTGCTTGAGCATCCATAAGCGAATCCTTGTTCCTTTGTTTTTTTTTTTTTTATAGATTTTGTGTTCCTGTTTTATTTATTTTTTTTCAGTTTGTGTGAATTGAAAGTAAATGTTGGAAAAAAACTGTAAAAGGAGATCAAAGAAATCATGGATAAATATATAAACATTCAAACAATCATGATTAACTTACATTTTTGGGTGTCGAGTGATTTGTAAAAATTTTAATCCGCTTTGTTTTTCGAGCTTAGTTAGCTGGCTCGGTGACACGGTGCACCTGGAGCACAGCGACAGCCTCCTCCACCTTGGCCTTGAGTGCCTCCTGATCCTCCAGCATGTGCAAAAGCTCAGAGTTCTCAATTTCCAGCAACATGCCAGTGATTTTGCCAGCCAATGTGGCATGCATGCGCTCAATCATTGGATACAGACGTTCGCCCAAAATTTGTTTCTGTTCTTGGGGCTTGGCGTTAGCCAACAATGAGGCAATGAGCTTCTCTTGGTCTACAAAAAGAGAAAAAATAGTATTATTACAATATATTACCAAGATGTTGTAATCAAGTGTGCGTAATTACTTTTGCCCTGCAACTGCGATGGCAACGGCTGCGCCTGTTGCATCTGTTGTACTGGAGGGTTACGCATGTTCGAGGTGTACTTGTAGCTAGCAGCACGCTGCTGAGCACCGCCAGCAATCTGAGCGCCGGCGATCTGCATGTTCGGAGCAGCCACTGACTGTTGGCCTGTAATGGCGCGAGCACCGGAGCTGCGCATGTTATTGGCCGCAGCGGCGGCGGCGGCAGCGGCGTGTGTGCCCTGCACTTGGGGCTGGGCGCCACGGGCACCGGCTCCGGACTGACGGAACTGAGTGGGCACAGCTCCTGCTGCACCCTGGAAGCCACCGACAGCGGCAGCGCCAGCAGCGGATGCGGCACCGGCCTGTACACTCTGCACAGCTGTAGCGGGGCGCATCTGTTGCTGGGCCCAGCGTGGCGCACTGCGCATCGGATTGGTAATCTGTGGGCCAAAGAAACGCTGGCTGGGCGTCATTGTAGGCACAAAGAAGCCGCCAGCAGTGTTTGGCGGGAACAACTGTCCCAACTGCTGCATACGCATGCCAGTCATGTGACGCATGTACTGTGAGGCAAGGTGCGCCTTACGCTCCTCCTTGCGTTGGGCCAGGGCCACGTATAGGGGCTTGCTGCCCAACACACGGCCATTTAGTTCAGTCACGGCACAAGTGGCCTCATTGGGCGAGATGAAGCAAACAAATCCAAAGCCTTTGGAGCGGCCCTCCTCGTCGGTCATGACCTTTGCTGATGTGATGGTTCCATACAGCGAGAACTCCTTGCGCAGACGCTCATCATCAATGGAATCGTCCAGATTCTTAACGTACAAGTTGACGCCGAACACGGACTCGTGACGCTTCTTCTTTAGCTCCTCGAACTTGCGCTTCAGTTCCTGCTGACGCTCGGCCTTCTTTTGGGCACGGGCAACATACAAAGTTTTGCCATCGCCCATATCCTTGCCATTGAGCGCCTGCACAGCGGCCTCAGCAGCTTCTGTTGTTTCATAGGCCACGAATCCGAAGCCCTTGCTCTTGCCATCTTCCTTGGACATGACCTGCAAATCAATACAAATTTTAATAAAATAATGGTTTTAGTTTGGTGTGACGCATTCTGTCAACATACTTTGTAGCTGGTAATCTTGCCGTATGGCTCAAAGAATTCCTTAAGCTTCTCATCATCGAAGTCCTCAGTGAAGTTCTTAACGTAGACATTTGTGAAAAGCTTGGCCTTCTCGCCCAGCTCCTTCTCGCGCTCCTTGCGTGGAATGAATTTACCGACGTAGACCTTTTTGCCGTTGAGCAACATGCCGTTCACCTTATCGATAGATGTATTGGCAGCCTCCTCTGTCTCAAAATGCACAAAGCCATAGCCCTTGGAAGTGCCCTTCTCATCGGTGGCAACTTTGCAGCTCAAAATGTTACCAAAGGCGGAGAAAGTGTCATAGATAGCCTTGTTATCAATTGCCTTATCAAGGTTCTTGATAAAAACGTTGCCAACTCCGGACCGACGCAATGAAGGATCGCGCTGCGACCACATAATGCGTATGGGCTTGTCGCGAATCAAATCAAAATTCATTGTATCCAGAGCACGCTCAGCTGTAAAATATGAAAAACGACCGGACGAATATGATGAAATTCGAATATGTTCTTGGAAACAATATAGATAAATAAATATTGCACATAAGGTAAATATAAAATTATAAATATACATATAAATATATCTAATTTTAATGGGCAAATGGGCAATGTAGTAATTGAAATCTGTAACGCTTCTGCTTTTGCAAATGACAATTGTAGCCATTTACATGGTAAGTTGTCTTATTTGATTTGGAAACATTGTATCTTAATTGTGGAACAATTTTGATCAACCAATGGGTGTAACTTCTCATATTTAATAGTAATTATATTTTTATCTAGTTAAGTGTAACGCTTATAATTTTATAAATAAGAATCAATAACTCATTTATATGGTAAGTCACGCAAATTAATTTAGCAACTTTGAATCTTAATTGTCTCAAAAAGGAATAATTTTGATCAACCAATGGGTATAAGTTGCAAAATTTGATCAATGCCTGATATCTCAATTAATAGTGTAACGCTTCTACTTCTGTAAATAAGAGTTAATGACTTATTTACATGGTAAGTCACGCAAATTAATTTAGCAACTTTGAATCTTAGCTGGCTCAAAATGGGATTATCTGACCAACCAATGGGTATAAGCTGCAAAATTTGATCAATGCCTAATATCTCAATTAATAGTGTAACGCTTCTACTTCTGTAAATAAGAGTTAATGACTTATTTACATGGTAAGTCACGCAAATTAATTTAGCAACTTTGAATCTTAGCTGGCTCAAAATGGGATTATCTGACCAACCAATGGGTATAAGTTGCCTAACTCAACCTAACCTAACTTCGAAGAGAAATAGAAATTCCGGAATTGCAAGCGATTCATAACAGACGCAGACAGTTCAGTAAACTTAGCGGAATGCGACGATGCGATGACTACGCTTTCACACACACACACACACACACACAAACCAGGGACGGTGTGCCTTAATTCAATAAAACTGAAAATGTAAACGACCTTTTGGCAGAGAGATCAACAATACAATAGCTGAGCTGAGCGTAGTTTCTGTAGTGGTGAAAGTTTAAGTTTGTTTTCGTTTTGTAGGTAAAAACAAAAACTGAGCAACATGGTTCAATGTCGTCTTGATCTGCTGGACTTAGGCATGCCAAGAATTTACACGTGTTAATGAATGAATGCACAACACTGGTATTACACGGTGACGACGGCCTTGTGTTTTATATAAAAAGTGAAAGCAAAACAAAAAGACGTTTCACTTACTTTTGGATGTGCGAAATGAAAGCTTAAAATGCTGCCAACGCGACATTCAAACTTTAATGTAAAAACGTGCAAATATTTGCTAATCATATATAACCTATAAATAGATCGATAAAAAAGCTTCTTAGCTAGTTTCTCAAAAAGTTAAATAAACAATAAACACATGTTTATGGAGACACGCACACATGAAATAAGCATGCTCTCTCTCATACAAACACACTCACACACACACACACATGCAATCTCTGCCAACAGCTCTTGGAAACAATAGTTGCAAGGCAAAACCGACGCCATTGCGAGACGGAAACAGAACAAAAGAGGGCGCGGTGTATGTGATAAGCCATTGTAGAAAAAAATTATAATAAATATGCATATAAATTGCAATCTGTAAAGAAACTTCTAGTTCTGTGATGACTAGTCACTGAGGACCAGCTGTTTTTCTTCTCCTTTTTGTTTGCTCTTTCACTTTCAGACACAAAAACTGGAATTCACACATACACACACATAGAAAAGTATGATGGCACTTTTGCTGTGTCTGTGTAAGCGTACAAGAAAATTGCACACGTGTTTTTCTTACTGCTGTCATTGTGAAGTCCCTATTTGGCAACGTTTATATGTATTTGTATTACAATTACAAATGTATAATTAATGATTACTCACCATCGGCTGGCTGCTGGAAGTTCACGTAGGCATAGCCCAATGAGCGACGGGTAACAACGTCGCGGCAGACACGAATGGACAGAACTGGACCAGCAGAGGAGAATTTCTCAAATAGTCCCGCTTCGTTGATGTCCTGGTGTAAGTCACCCACGTATAAAGAAGCCATTTTTGATGATTAGGTCCTCCTGGTATTAATAAACATATATTTTGGCTGTAGATCGATTATTACAAATTATGAGTAGATGCACGAGCAGAGCTTTGACAAAGCTTTCGCAGGAAACGTCTTTTTGACAGGCAAACAAAAAAAGTTGCAAAAACTAATTTTATAAATGCAAAACTTAAGCGGCGTGATTCTCGCTCTCTGCTATTCTTTTTTTGTGTGTGTGCGTGTCTCTATGGCAATACTGACGCATGTGACAGTTGAACGGCGGTCGATTAGTCGACATGGCAACACTGCGCGGCGGCATAGGCATGTGCTTTGTTGTTGCCGTTTCCTTCTTTCACAGCCCAATACGAACAGACAGAAAGCATGTTGGAAAATTTCCACATGCATACGCACACAAACGTATATACACGAACACAGAAACGCTAAGCCCGCATTAGAATTATTAAATTTACTCCATATTACATACAAAATCTTTTGTAGTCAACTTAATATGCAAAATCATACAGTGGGCTGGGCCTTTGTTCGTTTTCTTTAGCAATTTACTGCGCTCTGTTTGGACGATAGCTTACGTCGCCATCTTGCGTGGCACACAAATCACATTTCACAAGAAAATTTTAATTTTGCTTTGCATTGGGCATTTTACAGTAGTATTTGTACTTACGTTTTCAGCACTTGCTCGAATTTTTTGCTACTTTTTACAATTTTTTTGTTGCTTTTTATATTTTTTAATTTTTTTTTTTATTTTTTAAGATTTTTTTTTTTTCTTCACAAAAAATATGTGATAAGTCGTGTGCTAAGCGAAACCACGACCGCTCACTTAAACGGACTCTACTCGACTCGCCAATTCCAGCATTCACTTACTAGAACGAGAAAACAGCTCGTTGCATTTGACACTCGCTTATCGATAAGTCTGTGGTTTTAGTGACTGTCAAATGTTATTTCGATATTAACCAACACTGACTCTACAATTCAATGTTAATTTTTTTTTATCATGTTTCCCCGCAATTCGCTCATTTTGAAATCTGACAACTGTCATGCGAAAAACCTACATTTACAATTACAAATTTTCATGTCAGAAAATAAAATATTTTGTTAATGGCAAATGCGAATTTTTCATTAGCGGCAAAGAAAAATCTAATTTTTTACAATAAATATACCAATTTTAATATATGTATGACAAGTAAAAATGAAATGAATTATTATTACCGTAATAGTTATGGAGGGCTCACAGACCAGAAGCTTTCAGATATTTATGCATATTGACAGTTTTTATGCGAAAACAAAAATTTTGTTTCCCTCAGAAGAAGCGAACTTTTAATTAGCGGCAAAGAAAAATCTGATTTATAATAAACATACCCAATTTTAAGGAAAAACTGATTGCGTATTATTGGTTATTAATTATTAATATTACCGCAATAGTTATGGAGGCCTGACAGACCACAAGCTCTTAAATATTTATACATACAATAATGTGTAATATGTACATACATACATATGCATGTCTGCAATTTAATTTTTCTTACTTACCAAAGCTCAGACGCCGTCATGCAACGGGAAGTGCCTCGGTGCGCGGTTTTTAGGTACGCCTCAAAAGACAAAAGGGTTTCCTTAATTTTATATTTTTTTTGTTGTTTTTTAGAATACACACAAACAGAATAAAATTTTTTTGGTTTTTTGTATTTTATACGAAATAAACAACACTCAAACAAACCGAACAAAAGACTGCATCGAACCAATTGTTTAATATTTTTTTGAGTTTTTTTTTCGGCTAATAAACCTATTTTTTTAATTTCTTAGTGTGTCTCCTAATGAGGTGGCAGGCAGACTGACAACGAGCTCAGCTAATGTGGTAACATTTTTTCGATGCCTGCATCGCCTACTTCGTTTACAGTTATCATACTTTTCGAAAAACAGTCGCACACTCATATACATATGCACAAATACACGCATATGTGCACACATACATGCATACATACATATTCATTGGTATATTCGTTAACTCTCTTTCGTTGAGTCAGCTTCGTATTCTATCGGATGTTTATTTACTTAATGGAAATTGATATGCATAGTACACTTTGCTTCTATCATTTTATGAAAAGTGTTTACTGAGCCGAGCCATAAAAACTCATTCAAATTATACCAATGCACTTATTGTATACACATTTATTTAAAACTTGTTTACACATATAGAATAATGCTTAAGTGTGATTGTATATTTTGTTTCCTTCTTGTTTATAATGCAAATTCATGAGATTTTGTTTTCCGTTCAACTCGATTTTGATTTCTTGTGTGTATTTTCATAATACTAAAAATTAAATTGTATTTATCCATTATTATTGAATTAGGTCTAATCTATGGGTACATTTAATTATGCCTAATTTGTATTTAATTTTTACCTCGATTAAATTATATGTAGTATACCTCGAATATTTTTGTATGCATAACATGATTAGAAATTTGTGTAATTTTTTGTTTGTTTCTCATTAAGTTTACGTTTTTAGATCAAGTACAGCACATATATATTTCAAAAATATATATATTTTGTTATATGTATGTAGTAATAGCTATCAAATAATTGGAACTGAACTGAAACTTAATTCTACACATTCTTTTAATTCTTTCAATTAATAATATGCATGTATTTCTATACTTGAATATGTTTACCCATGTTCAGCAAAAAATTTAAACAAATAGCTTCAGTTTAATGTTGTAATACTTTCAAGTGCCAAATTTCGATATACAAAGAAAATTATGTTTCAGTTACATTTTAAACTATTTCAACAATATATACTGCCATTGCACTATTAAAACCTGTATTCAGTTGCATTTTTTTGTTAAATGCCAAAAACATTTTGCTATTTTGGCAGTGGCGTTTTTTCATTTTTTTTAAGATTAACAAAACAAAATTGGGCCTAAAAACCTGGCAGCAATTTTCGGCTTAAGCCATAACTAAAAATACCATCAATGAAAAATAATAAGATAATAAGTAATCCGTAATCAGTTATCAGTTGTCAGCATCAGGTGCCAAATGCTTAGATTCCGTTTGTGAGGGCAACGGCAGCAGCAGCAGCAGTCGCCGAATCACTTCCCCATTCAACCAGATATTGCACCTGGCCATCGCTCATGCGGCGTTTGGCGCGTATGGCAAACGATTCGCCGGCATCGATCCGATTCATGGCTCCACCGAAATATCTGTTCACAGACTGCTTTAGATCAAGCATTGAATGCCCATTGGCACCGGGTGCCCCGCCTCCACCGCTGCTGGTGCTGCTGCTGCCATTGGTTACTGTGGAGCTGGTGGAATTGCGTCGACTGTCTGTCGGTGTGCCGCATCGAGATTTTTGGGGTCGCTGGCGCAGCAAACGGCCATGGCTGGGCTTCTCTGGTGGCAGCAGTGGGGCCGGTGGCTGCAAATCTTTGGCATATATGGGAAAGTAGTGGCTGGGTATGGGATTTATTGTAGTCGTGTTGATCACCTGTCGAGAAAAATAGATATAATAATTTTAGCTATAATTTTTAATCATTAAATTAATATGTACACTCACCTCAATGGCCGTGGTCAGACGACGAGTGCGCCGCCTGCGCACCTCCTGATTCGGCCCAATGGTAATATCTTTGGCACTCAGTCTTCGCTTAATGGTACGCACCATTCGTGGCTGCTGTGCGGCAGCCGTTGCCTTGGCCAGCTCACTGCTGCTCAACTGCTTCACGTTCTTTAGCTTAAAAATGCTATTGATGATGCCCGCCACTCCAGCGGCACCAGCACCGACACGTTGCTGTGTCGACTTCTTGGGCGTTGCCATTAAGAAGGGATTATTGCGACCCAGAAAATTTGCCGGCGGCGGTATAATGAGATCCAGCGAGCTGGTGCCACGGCTGCTGCTCGAATTCTCATCTGAAGAGAGATCACAGTGGCGGCTGTTGTCGTAACGTTTCGACAAGCGGAATGCCTTGCGTTTGCGGCTATTGCCGTTGCTGTTGCTAATGCCATTATTGTTGGCAGTGGAATCCAGCTGTGGTGGAGCGGGCCCCATTTGCTGCATTTTGCTCGGATCGCCATCGTTGGCATTATCATCTGCCAGATCAGGCGTGCGCTTGCCCGACTTGTTTATCTGCTGGCAAAATGTTATTAGTGATTTATTTATAAATTTAATGAATTATTTAGAATCTACCTGCAGATCTTCGTTCGATGTCACTGGCTGCTCTTTCTGCTGCTGCTGTTGCTTATTCTGCTTTTTGACCTTCTCGATAATCTGCTTGATGGGTATCTCATCTTCGCTGGTGTCGACTTCCGCCTCAGCCTCGACTGCTTCCTCCTCATCATCGTCCGTATGAAACTCGTACACATCTTTGGCCACCGAAGTTTTGGTGTTCGCGCTCTCTTTAACTGCGTTCGACTGCCCTTGACTGGTCTCCAGGCCTTCCTCTGGCATCAAAAGCAACTTAAATTTGTTAACCAACAGTTCATCGCATAGTACATCGTCTGGCTGCAGAAATACACGCGGCGTCAATGGCGGTCCGCTGTGTCGCAGTGCGTAGTAGGCAGGCGCACGCTTGAACTCCCGTCCACATATAAATCGATCCGAATACTCCTTCAGCGTCTGCTTAATTCGCTCCATTAGCGTTGTCTCCGGCAACTGGCGCCACTCCTCGCAAATGGGCAGCTGATGTCGCTGCTCCAGTATAAACGGCCAAATGTCTTTTAGCAAATGATGATACTTCTGATGCTGATGCTTGCGCAAATTGTAGAGCGTTATGTGCAGCATGTCCACCCAATCGATTTGAAGGCGACGAATGAATTCAACGCCATTGTTGCACACAGTGCAGCAGAATACAAAGAAGCTGTGAAGTTGAAATACAAGAATAATTGGATTAGTTATCATTAAATTCAATTTGACTTCTAATAATAATGATCTAAAAACATCTCTATATAATGAATAATAATAAATTCTTCTTCTTCATATTTAAGATATGTGTACATACATATAGACATGTCATTACTTTAACAACAGTTACCGCCGCGCAACAGCTTGCGGTTAAATTTCATATATTTTTTACCATGTATATGAACCGTTTTTTCTTATTTTAAATTATAAGTAAATACGTTAATAGATTCCTCAGACACATAAAATACTTTCAAATTTAACTAAATATATCTTGATACCAAGATGGCTTTTACAATACACAATGTATACCAATATATATATACATTCCCGTATATAATCCACATGACCCTGATTCATTGGGTAAATCAACCTGACACACTTACATATCGCCGCGCAGCAGCTTGCGCTTAAAGTTCTGCATACATTGGGTGTGAAACCAGTTCTTGCACTTGCAGCATTGCAACATATTGTGATCGAATTTTCCAGGCTTGCCGCAATAGCAATAGATTTGCTCCTCATTCACGCGGTGCTTCTCATCCCAGCTCAGCTTGTCCGCCTACAAATAACAATGAATAATGCATGAGTCCTCGTATACCTCTTGCATTTATTTCGATGAACAGTGAACTTACATGATAGGGCAGCTGGCGACAAATGCCGGGCGGTTTGTTGGTCTCGAGAGCTGGTTGCATTTTCATGGGTTTTGCGCAACGCTTGCAGCACCAGACGCCACTGGCTATTTCGGTGGTGCAGCCACGATGATAGCCACGGCCACAACGTTCGCAAATTTCGACAACATCCTCGTGCTGCGCCCGCTTGCAGGCGACGCACATTGGTCCGTTTTGGCTGGCGGCTGTGCCGCCTGTGCTCGGTTCGTTACCCAATTTGCGAAGTTTCTCCACCTCGCACCATTGCTCCGACTTGTCGTCGAAACGCACCAGATACTGATCATCAGATTGTGCTATTATGGTGCCCAAATAGAAGCGTCCATCGTTGCATTTTATGAACACATCCTCCTGTAGCGCATATGTGATCGGAGGGGGACTATGTGCTAGTGCTGCTGGTGGTGGTGGTGTGGGTGGGGTGGGAGGTGCAGCAGCCGCCGCTGATATTTCAACAGCCTCCTCCTCAATGCTCTGTGTGACTGTGGTGAAGCTCTGCTTCAGTACAGTCGTTGGCAAGAGCACGCAGCTATTACTGCTGCCGGGTGATTTAATGGGCGAGCTTAGAGTCTCTGGTGTTGTGGGTGGAGTATGGGGCGTTGTTGTTGTGGAGTCCGGCTCGTCTATGACTATGACAGCAGCAGATGTGGCCGCACTGCTGCTGCGACCCGTCGAGCAGCTGCTGCTGCTGCTGCAACTACTGTCAGCTGTGCTGCTATCAATGATCGGCATAACCGCTTTGTGCTGTATAGCGGGTATAATGGGCGAAGGCTGGCAGAGGTTTGGTTCTGTGTAGTGATTATTGATGCATATGTTAATGCGATCCAGCACAACGGTCGACGAAGGTGCTGCACTATTTGTGACATTGCTGAGGGCAACATTATTGTTGTTGTTGTGATTAGTGTTATTGTTGTTGCTAACTGGCACCAGCGGCGGTGGTTGCAGTTTGGGCTGTAGATTTGGTGGGGCTGCATAGTATGCACCAACTGGGGCATACAGTTCCGTGGCAGGAGTAACGGCAGTTGACGATGTGGGCGTTGCATATAGCTGATTTAATTGATCTGCGGTTTTATTAAGACTATAAACATTGGGTGCTGTGCTTATAATGCGTATATTGTTGATGTTATTCGTCTTAAAGGAACCCGACTGCGGCTGCGTCTGCTGCGCATAGTTGTTGGTTATTTGAATGCTATTCGGATGCGTTGCTGCTGCCGTTGTTGTTGTCGCATTTGTATAATATCGCTTCGGGCCACCTAGTGTCGGCGGTAGTTGGCCAACTGTATTTGTCGCAAGTGTCGGCGGTGGGGGCGGCAATATTTGATAGGTCAACCATTGCTGGGGACTTGGCACCGCGGCTGATGGTTGTGCTAAATAACTGTATGTGGTTGTTGGCGCAGCGACAGCGCCAGCAAATTGCGGCGCGACATTTGACGACGCGCTGCCGTGGTCATGTGCTTGCAAATGAAAATGGTTGTTCATCATTTGGATAGCTTTATTGTGCAGTTACTTTGTGCGCAGTCTTTTCTATAACATACAAAAGAATAAAATAAAAAAGAAAGATTTATTAAATTCTGTTTCATAAATTGTTATTTCTGCGGCAACACTAAACTGGCGCCTTTTTTCAAGCAATTTGTTGCTGCTCACACACATCTACAAACAGAGACACACGAACACACACACACACACATAATCATACGGAGAAAGAGAACACTGAAACCGTTTGCGGGCCCTTTTGTATTCTACTTCTTACCTACGTTTTTTTCTCACGCAGCCGTGCACGACGAGCCGCATTTTAAAACCTACATTTACATACCTTTTATTGTGTTTCAACACATATATTAAATTAGTGTAGCATTAAATTACATTCGTTAATAATATTTAAGTAATTTTGTGCATATTTTAGCATTATAGCAAACAAAATACACTAAAACAATCACTTGATTCGGCAATTAAAAGTGTCAGCCATTTTTCAGCAGATGCACAGTGTTAGCAAATGACCTGTGTAACTGAACAGTGTTGGAAAATGCATTTTAATTGGGGCCCTTCAGCGAATTAAAATAATAAATTATTATCAATCACACTATTAATATTTGTACGATGCAAAACAATTTGATCAACGCAATTTATTTTTAAATTGCATCATTTGTATTTTTGTCTGTTACTAGAATATACCAGCAAGTACTCGATACTTTCAAAAAGTATATAAATAGCTGCAGCGTTGTCTTCGATAGGTTTTTGCTCGACAGCATCGAGACCGACTGCGATAGACAGTGCAGAGGAAGAAAATTATTTTATTCGTGAAGTTCAACAATTACGCTGTGCATAAAAGTGTTAAAAAACATATATAAAAAACCGAATTGTGAAAAGTGATTGAAAAATTAAACAAGAAGAAAGTGTAAACTAAGTGAAAAACATTTTATTTCCACTCATAAAACGCATATAAATCAAGAAAACAGCTGTAAAGTAGTATTGCGGTAGGTAACATACACATACACATATGAGAAAATATATGGTGACTGGATGTGGAATGAACTGTGGCAACAGTAAAATTTCGTATTCATTGATACAGTTTTTTTCTTTCTGCAATTTTCAAATTTCGTAAAGCAGTTCTGATTGACGTTTTATATGTCCAAAACGCGTGCAAGCCTTAAGGCCGTGCAACTAAAGCACGAATCAACGGAAGAAGAGGAGGACGAGGAGGACCAGCAGCAGCAGCAGCGCCCACGTCGCAACATGCATACGGTTGGAGAAACAGGCAGCGGAGTGCCAGCCTTTTTGGCCAAACTCTGGCGTCTGGTTGAGGATAGCGATACAAATAATTTAATTTGTTGGAGCAAGGTAGGCCGCCATATTGTTTATTTACATCTTTTTTTTTTTTCATTTGACATAGCAACAACAACACCAATGCAGGTGATTTAATTCTGTTTCGACTTTCACTACGTCATCGTTTGTCTGCACATTCGTTGATGTTGTTGTTGTCAGTATGCTCGCTCGCACGTATGAAAGAGGATTGCTCTCTTCTTTTTTTTCTTTTTGTATGCTACTTTTATTGTTGTCAATTTGCATAGGCTGTTTGGCCGTGCGTACGTGCGTGCCCTCTATCCAATGCATCTCTGAAAATTTTCCATTTGTCTCTCCCCTTCCGTCCGTCCGTCCGTTCATCTATCTGTCGCAACTCAATTCAATTTTGTTTTTCTGCCCTGAGTGCTTCTCATTCTGTTTTGGGCTTGCTTTCGCCAAGTGTTTGCCGAGATAAGCAAGCTCTTTTTCCATTTTTGTTTGCCATATTTCACACGCTTTTCGTGTGTGTGGCTTTATAATTAGATAAATATTTTGCCTGTTGTAATTTTTTTTTTATTTTGGCAACCTTATCAGCGCATAAGTGTGTTTTAATGTCTGATAGGGAATATGAACTCCTAATTTTGTAAGCCAATAATTTGTGTTTATCAAAGCTATAAATAAGTAAATTGCATAGCCTAATTCGGATTCTTATTCAACTCTTATTATTAAATTAATTAGTTTTGATTATTAGCGGATTATAAAAATTCGAATCTGATTTAGTTAAATTTATTTTGTTTTCATCCAATATATTTATCGCTTAGACATTATCTTTCATTAACTATTTAACCATTTATTTTTTAAAATATATTTCAAGCTTAAGGTTCAGTAAACGAAATTTTTGTCATACAGCACATATACATACATAGATATATGCTTGTGATTTACAATTTTTCATAATTTTTATAATCTTATCTCTTTTGTATTATATTTTTATATCAGGATGGACGCAGTTTCATTATTAGAAATCAGGCCCAATTCGCTCGTGAGTTGCTGCCATTGAACTACAAGCATAACAACATGGCTAGCTTCATACGTCAATTGAATATGTGTAAGTTAACAATTCTGGCTTAATTGACTAGCTCTCGACAGTAAACTAATTATTTATTATAAATTACAGATGGCTTTCATAAGATCACCTCGATTGAGAATGGCGGACTGCGTTTCGATCGGGATGAGATTGAGTTTTCGCATCCGTGCTTCAAGCGCAATTATCCCTATCTGCTGGACCACATCAAGCGCAAGATATCCAATACCAAGACCGTGGATGAGAAGAGCGTGCTGAAGCAGGAGACTGTGTCGAAAGTGCTAAGCGATGTGAAGGCTATGCGAGGCCGTCAGGATAACTTGGACTCGCGTTTCTCGGTGATGAAACAGGAGAACGAAGCTCTCTGGCGCGAAATAGCCTCGCTACGCCAGAAGCATGCCAAGCAGCAGCAGATCGTCAATAAGCTGATACAGTTTCTGATCTCGATAGTACAGCCATCGCGTAACATGTCCGGTGTGAAGCGTCACATGCAGCTGATGATCAACGATACACCGGAGAATGCTCGCAAGCGTAACGCGAGCGAGTCGGAGAGCGAAGGCGGCGGCCCCGTTATCCACGAGTTGGGCGAGGAGCTGCTTGGCGAGGTCATGAACCCGAACAGTCCCTATTCCAAGCAGTATGAAGGAGAGAGCGTCTCACCGCAAGCTATGGAGCGGCCTCGCTCTAATGCTAGCATTGCCAGCTCTCAAAATTATGACTACTCGAATCAGAGCGCCGAAGATTTTATTACCGCTCAGCTATTGAATAGCGGTGACGGTACAACCAACGTCCCCTGCTCTCCGGGTGGCCAACAAGTGCTCTACACCGTCACAGAGGCACCCGAAACTCATGTGCAGGAGCAACAATTTCAGCCCAGTCCCAATAGTCTCTACAATAGCGATGAGCAGTTAAATGTGCTCACCACGCCCATGGTGCGGGAGCAAGAGGCGCGCAAGCGTCAGCAGCTTAAGGAGAAGAACAAACTGCGCCGTAATTTAGATATGCTGGGCCAGGTTGATTTGGATATGTCTCCAAAATCCTCACGCACACGTAATGGGCAAAACGAGTCACAGGTGAATATGCCCCAAGCGGTGCTGGTCAAGACAGAGCCGGAGGCAAGGGGTGTGGCTGCGAGTATGCCTTCCTTGCTAGAACCTGATTCGAATGATGCGGATCTCTACAATGTGAACTTTATTAGCAACGATATGCCAACAAATATATTTGAGGTAGGTTAAAAAAAAAAAACAAAAATGATTGACAGACTAAATGAATAATGGCTTTATAGGATGACTCCTTGATGTCCTCCGCTGGCATGGATGAGCAATCTGCCAAACTGGATCAACAACAACAGTTTGGGCGTAATACTGTAAATAGTGGAAAGTTTGCCGATATGCCGATCACCTTTGACCTGACCAACAGTAGCCCTGATAATCCTTTGGTAGCTGATGCCAATTTGGCCTCGACTTCAAAAGCGGCCGCAGCTGCCAAGGACAATAATAATGACCAACAAGACCAACAACAGTTGCAACCGCATCAAGCAATGGCAGTTACCAAGTACACTGGCGATAATGGTAACGATTCTCGAATACCTGCAGTGTAAGTTACTAAGCCTAAACCAATAATGAATCGGTAACTAACGATAATATCGTCCTATAGGGAGGAAGTCTCCGGTCACTTGGATAGCCTACAAGATGAGCTTGAAACCCTGAAAGATCTACTGCGCGGCGAGGGTGTTTCCATTGATCAGAATATGCTAAAGGGCGTAAGTATCACTCCGACGAAAGTAGCTTTTTAGTTGTAGCTTTTTGTTGAGCTGTGTCCGTGTGTCCGTCTTATCAGTCAATTCATAACATAATATATATATTCTATTCTATGTGAACATTCAGTCTGCGCCGAAAGGTGTTGCTGCCAGGAATCCCGCATTGCAGCTGTCCGACGAGGAGCTGCTACTGAAGGTCTCTGCGGTGCGTCTATCTAGTTTTGATTTGCGCCCGCGCTTTTAAATAATTGATCAAACAATTAGAGAACAATTGAACCAAATTTTATTTATTTTTGCTTTTCGCTTACAGCTTTTCAATGACTCAGATGTGATGGATAACTATGGCCTGTCCTTTTTGAATGACAACATGACTTGTGACAAGAAAGGTATGTAAACAATCATAATATTTAATGTTTTACATTATGTCAAATTAAATTTGTGAAATTTACAGCGAATAGCGGCTCTGAGCTAATGGCATATCAGCCCAATATGTATGATCTCTCTGACATTTTGGACACAGATGATACCAACAAACCGGGGCAGGATGCAACCAATGGACGTGAACTGCTGACTCAGAGCTCTGTCCTGAATACACCGCGCCACGATTCGTAGATAGCTCTAGATAATAAGACTTAGTCATAGCAGCAGCTCAAACAGAACATGGGCGAACAAATTGTTTTTACAATATTATAATTTCATACAAACACAGTTATATATATATGAATGTATATATAACGTAAATAAATATATATATAAATATATATATGTTTATATCTATATATATTTATATATAAATTTAACTTAAAGTTAAGAGTTTTATTTTTAGTTCTTTTTTTAAAATAGTTTTCAATGGTTTTTATTTTGGAAGAAAACTAACATGACTATTTATTAATCTTACTGTTGATATGCCTTACGCCCTATATATAAAATATATAGAGATCCTATGATTTTCTGGAGCTAACCCTTCGTTTTGCAAAATTATTTTTAGATGTAATTCGATTTTGCAAGACTAAAAACGTTGTTTACCTAGATTTTATATTGACGAAAGTGAAAACGAGTAATAGTTTTAATTTGATCGAATTAATACATACACATATTGATTATATACATATAATAGTCGGGATTTTGCATGAACATCAGTTATATATATATAAAAAAAAAAAAAACATAGTTAATAGACAGTGTATACAAAAACATTAGTATCTAAAACGTTTCGATCACAATATATACACTATACCTTAAAAATACTACTTATGCGAAATACAAATAAATTTTGAAAGCGTTTGAGCTGCAAACAAAACTAAAACCATTTGTTTTATTCTTATTTTTAACTCTCTAAGTTGGCTGTGCGATGGGAGTAAGGGAGACTGGAACCCTTGAGAGAAAAACTGGTAACAAATTTCGATCCATCTTCAGTCTGAAGCAATCGTTATCTTTAGGTCGAAAATAAAAGAATTATTAGTTTTGTTAATAATTTTAGAATGCGTACGTATAATTTATTTTGTTTTGTTGATACAACTGAATAGATATGAAAAACATACAACATCGTTTTAATAATAAAATCTAAATTAAATAGAAAACTTAGTCTAATTAGCGTCTTAGAAAATTCTATATAATTTGCATATTATGTAAAAATTATACATTTAATGTGACTTAGAATTGTTCGTATGCGTAAATACCCAGAGAAACAGATTTGTAATTAAGATTAGGCCTCGTCCTTGTACTTAGCGTCCTTTAGAATGTTAGCAAATTCGAACTTGACTCGCTCGCGCTCCGATCTGGGCATGCTGCGTAGCGTGTCCACCAGTGATAGGCAGTAGAGCTCAATGGGATCATTGATTGGCGCTAATCGGGGTACAGGAGCAGCCATGGCTTTCCGCTTTGCCGCATTAGCCATAATGTCCTTGCCGGGTGCACTGCGTCGCGTGAGTGCTGCCTTATATATAGGTTCTATGGTCACCTCGCCATTGGACAACGCGCTGTTTTGCCTGTACTGGGGTTCGGTCTTAACGTTTTGATTGTGGTATTGCGGCTTGATGTCTTCATTATGACCATGGGACTTAGTGTCTTGTTGGGACGCCTCATCGACATTACCCATTATCACCATGGGCATGAGCAGCGGCGAGGAGGCCGGCGAGTTGGCTTCCGTATCGTTGTGGTTGTCGGTGCTGCCGTTTCCATTGACAGACATCGACTCCTGCAAGTTGACGTCGGGCTTGGGCTCCATGACCATGAGCTCAGGCACAATCTCGTTATCACTGTGACCACCCGCATGTGTCGAGCCATCTTCGCTGTTATCATCGTCCAGCTCAATGATATCATAGTTCTCCGTTAGATCAACTCGCAAATGCTCCGGATCTGGGTAGAGAAAACTGTTGCTGTCGTTGTCGTTGTCGCTGCTCCCACCACCATTATTATTACTTGTATTATTATTGGTCTGGGTTATGTAGGCCTGCGCCTTTCTCACATTGTACGTTTGTGCTGTGTTTTGTAAAAATGATAGATCCTCTGTGAAGCGTCGCTTGCGCACATTCGGATTTACCTGGCCTGTTTCCAGAGCCTTAATCTCTTGTAGATAATTGTAGCGTATGTTCTTCCATTTCGTTTGCAGAAATCGTGCTGTTTGAGTATAAAAATGGGGTTGATTAAATAGAAAAGACACAGTTTGATTTTTAAATAGGGAGTAGATACGGTAAAAAAGGGTTTATTATATTCTCATTTTACAATATTAAAAGAAAATTAATTGGAAATTTCCCAATTTTTTCTCTCTTGATATTGTAAATTTGGAAATCACTTACATGAAGCGCCAAGTTCGTTAGCTATACGATCCCATATGTCCACTCTGACGGGATTTCGGCGGTAATGCGGATGGCTCACATCGTAAATGGCAGGATTGGCGCGAACCAATTTTATAAGGCGATCATCTGTGTGTGTGCGTTTTTTTGGGAAAAATCGTTAAAATCTGTGTCGCAGTACATTTCGCTTTCTACGTTCTTCTCAAATAGCAACAACAATAACAACAACAACAGTGGCAGAACCAACCCTTAGGCCGTCTTCTCTGTTTTAGGGGAAGACTGTTGTGTGTGCGTGATGCCGCTGGGGGGTTGATTCTGCTGTTTTCAATTGTGTATTGTAGTTATCAAATAAAAAAAAGAACTCTCTTACCGAATTCGGGCCCAGTTGTCTCACGTTCTGCATAATATCGCTGCATTTCTCGTTTTATCATTTTCCTTTTTGTTGGTATTTTGACAGCTTTGATATCCACGGCGATTTTGTATTTGTTTATGTTTGCAATAGCAGCAGCAGCAGTTTGGCTTAATTTGAATTAAGCTCTCTATAGTGGCGCACGTTCTTTGCATTGATTAACACTCTAAATTGCGCAGTGATATCAATGGCTACATTTATTTTCTCGTAGTAATTGTAAAAACACCGTTCTGTGCGCGATGTCTTCTCGGCTTCACTGTTTTTTCAGTTTTGTTTTACGCGCTCTGCGCACGCTCATTGGTGTCTGGTGCTGCCAACGTTGCTTATGAATACAGAAATGCCAACTTTTTTTTTCTAAACTGCTTAAATACGGTTTTAGTATATTTTCATTGCCAGCATATTTAAAAAAATAACGAAAAAACAAAATATCTATATTTCAGTTGATTTGTTTATTATTTATTTCGCAAGACAAATTTAACTTTGATATTATTTGCAACGCGTAGGGTCAATCCCATATGAAAGACTAGATCTTGCGAAGTGGTGACTGGCAAAATCTTGAATTTTTTTAAAATAAAGCACAGCAGCGTTTTTATTAGAATCATAAAGTATTGTTGAGCTAAGGGCAGAAATCAAATAATTTTATTGAATATATATTCAATTGAATATCTATTAATGTTGTAAGATTATTTACTTACCTAGACAATTACGCAGACCCATACTAAATGGTATATATGAATATGCATGTCGCTTTAGGCTGTTCTCTGGTAGAAAACGATCAGGATCAAAAACATTCGGATTATCCCAGTACTTGGGATTTCGATGCAGATCAAAGACATGCATCATTATCTGTGATCCGGTAGGCAGAATAAGCCCATTTGGCAGTACAGTTTCCTCTGAGGTCTGACGACCTATAATGGGAACAGGTGGGAATATTCGCAATGTTTCCTTTATGAAGCGCTCCAAATACTTCAGATTTGACAACTGATTAATGTCGAAATTGTTCTGATCATGTATATGCTCCGATATCTCTTGATAGCATAGCTCCTGCATATCTTCGTATAACGATAAATTAAAAATGGTAAACATCAAGGCAATAGACGAGGGATCAAAGCCGCCGAACATAAGTGTGTTGACCTCCTCGCATATGCCAGCATGATCGATCAATCCATCCTTCTCGGCACATATGAGTGTGTCCAGCATGGCAAAGCGCCGTTTCATGTTAACGTATCTGGGTATAAGGTAACGGATGTAAGAATCAGATTAAATTCTATATAAATTTCAGTACTAACAGTTCACTTACATATCATCGTCTGGCAACTGATGACAGCGTCTTTCATTTAGCTCCTCCTCTAGGAGAATCCGGCGCTTCGCTATAATATCGTTGGTGAATTCGTGTACCACTTTCAAATATGGGATATTCTCATTGATTGGAAACAGTTTGTAGATTGCCCCATAATAATGCAGTGGATTGGTGAAAGTTTTCACAAAACATTTCTCAAACATTTTCATGCTCTCGCGATAACGATCGCCGCGCTCAGTCATATCATCCAGATTGATGCCCATGGCTGTCTCTATAAGCATGAAATTATTATAAGTCATCGACTATTTATTGATAAGAATTGCCTTGCGTATTACCACAAATGCTATTGAGTGAAAATCTGGGTATAAGTTCCGTAAGTGAGACAATGCTCTCCTCTTCGTGCTCGAATTGCCTTACAAACTTTTGACTTTCCGCCCTGAAATAGAAAAATATATATATGTATGTACATGAAAATATATATTTATATATTCATAAATGTATAATAAACTCACCTAAAGATTTCCTCAAACTGAACTAATACATTATGCTGGAAAGTGGGAGTTATCATCTTACGTCGCGTATGCCACTTTTTACCTAAAAAATATTCAATGAAGGATTTTAATTAATTTATTTCGACATCTTAAGGAGGAACTACCTGTTGAGGTCAGCAATCCTTTATGCAGTGCTGGCTGCATGAAGTCATAATCTATACTCTTTGTTATGAGGGTCGTGTTACTCAATACAAATTCCGCATTAACAGGATCAATAATATTGTACATGGGTGACCCGAAGGCATAGATCAAATAGCTTTTGCCTATTTCGAGAGCCGCATCACGATAATACCTAAAAGTTCCCGCTAAAATAAAGCATTTATTTAATAAGTCAATCATAAAAAACATTTGATTTTCATTACCATCGTCTTTTCCACATAGATCGAAAACGTTTCCAAAGATCGTATTGCCCTTCAATGTAGGGGCAATGTTATCCACGAAGCGTCCATCGGTAGCTCGAGCTCGACGCGCAAAAAAAGCCAATACATAATATTCTTTATTGATCTTAAGTAGCCAGTATAGCAGTATAAACACTGCGATAATCACAATACAGGGATAGACCATATCAAAGCGAACTCGTCTTGTCTGTTTCCCGAGAACGACTGGCATATAAGACCTCAAGTTGTTTATAAATATCAAGTGCTCGCTCGTAAACACAAGATAAGATTGTTGTTGAGACTTCCAAGCAGCTTTAACAGAAGAGTGGGAGATCCACTCTTATACGTTTCATGCAAGTCTAGTCTTATATTGAAGAATTCAGCATGTTGTGCATTACTAATCAGTTTTATGCCCTGTATTCTTTTTAAAATGGGTAGTCTCAGCCTATGCAAAAGATCTAATATAAAAGAATAATAAGTCCGCATTCCAGCAAACTAAAATGTAAACAAATTAAAAACAGGTTTTTATCAGTTTTGTATTTATATATGTGCATATGTATAAACATGTATGCATGTGATTACAAGTTTTTTCTGTCCAATTCAAAAATAAATAAAAGCAATTTCGCTTTGTTTCTTTGCACTGTAACCTTTTGAATAAATTCATTGGATTTTAAAATTAATTTGAATTCAAATTTCTAGCTTTCATACAATATTTGCGTTACTTTGTATTTTTCGTTTATTTTCGTTCAATTTTCAGATTGACAGTAGACTTTAGTATTTTGTAGTTATACGCGTGCGGTCACACTAGTGCACCGCTGCTTAAATAACAATCAATGAGTTATTTAAAACTCTCACTTGATTTCGTGAAATTATGCATCATATTTAATTGTGCACACAAAGGACTTTTGTTTTCGGGGCGGCTGGTCGTCGGTGTCAGCAAGGCGTAGGCGTGTGGTGACCACAACAAATAAATCTCAGTACCAACAGCATTGTGAGCGACGATAAATTGCGCGCGTCCCGCTTTGGAAAAAACGGCACGTGCTTGTTTGCAACGAATTGCAGCAAAATATGAACGAGGGCCGCTATGGTAGATTTGGAGCACTCATTGGCGTTGCGTACGTGAGCAGCACCCATTGCCGATTTCTGGTAAGAGAGAGAGAGAGAGAGCGAGGGAGTCCAAAATCCAAAAACAAAACGCACATACAACAATCCATTACACACACAAACACACATACCTATGCAAACGCTCACACGCACGCTGACTCAATGTCTATTTTCATAGATTTACTCGACAAAAAATGCAGAAGTGCTGGCCTATCACGAGCTCAAACTGCGGCAGATAGTGCATAATGCCGGTTGGCTGGAATACGATCCCGCAGAGATATGGAAGCACATGCAAGAGTGCATTGAGGTGCGTAATGCAAAAGTTTTCGATTATATCACCCATATATAACCCCTACCATTATTAATTGCATCGTTTCACACTTGTATGTATGTTCGTGTAGACAGCCTATAAAAACCTGGTGATACTGGAAATCAGTCCGCATGACATCATTGCTGTGGGCATTGCCAATCAACGCGGCACCACAGTGCTATGGAATAAGCGAACGGGTCAGGCCTTGCACAATGCCATTGGTTGGTCCGACTGCCGTAGCACGGCGTTGCTAAAGTCACTCCTTCATAATGTCAAGCGTAATGTGAACTATTTGCGCTATCGCAGTGGTCTCCCACTTAGTAGCTGTTTTAGCGCTCTGAAGATCAAGTGGCTGCTGGAGAATGTGCCGGCGGTGGGCAAGGCCATTGAGGAGGATCAGTGCTTGTTTGGTACGCTGGATTCCTGGCTGATATGGGTGAGTAAGCAGTCCAAACTAATGTAAACTTACAGCTGATATAAACTATTATTTATAGAATTTAACTGGTGGCGTCGATGTGGGCGTTCATTCCACAGACGTGACCAATGCACACTACACATCGCTTATGAATGTCGCCACACAGCAATGGGACAATAAGCTGTGTAAATTCTTCAAACTGCCAATGGGCATACTGCCGCGCATTCGCTCAAATTCAGAGATCTTCGGTTACATTGTTCAGGGTGCTCTGATGGGCGTGCCCATTGCGGGCGTAATGGGCGAGCATCCAGCTGCTCTGCTGGGACAGCTGTGCGTCAAGGCCGGTCAGAATGTTTGTACACTGGACGACAGCTGTTTTGTACTGTTGAACACGGCGCAGCAGAGAGTGGAGTCGGAGAATGGGTTGATAACTGGCATAGCGCACAAATTGGGACCCACAGCAGATACGCATTTCACGCTTGAGGGAGCCATTTCCAATGCGGGATCCACTGTTAATTGGCTGCGTCAGGGACTGCGAATCAATACCGAAATCAATTCCAATGACAATGTTGTCGAATCGCTGAACACATTTTTGGGCGAGAGCTCAATGATCTCTTCCTCTTGCTCCTCAAGCATGCTCAATGCGGAGTGCGGACTGGCGGCCAAGCGTTCAGAGATCACCTTTGTGCCCGCCTTCCATGGCTTATACGCGCCCTACTGGCGCTATGATGCGCGCGGAATTATACTTGGTCTGACCAGCCAAACGACGGCCGAGAACATTACACAGGCTGCCTACGAAGCGACTGGCTTCCAGATCTACGAAGTGCTGCAGGCCTTCAAGCGAGATACGCCCAACTGGGACCCGTCATGCATGCAGCCGGTCTTGACATTTGGCGGCGAGTATGCGGAGGACATTCATCTGGTGCAGTTTGTGGCGGACATTATTGGCTGGATGCTCGAACGGCCGCAGACAACATCGCCCGCTGGTCTGGGTGCTATGATAGCTGCTGGCATAACTATGCGTGTGGTCTCCCTGCCATATGCGACGCGTATGTATGCGCCACCCACAGACGTCTTCTCACCCACAACTACTCAGAATCGTAAGGGACTAGCATGCGGAAGGTGTTTGTGCATCTATAATATATAATTTTAATTGCAGGTCGCGAACTGCTTTATCGTCGCTGGGACTATGCGGTCAAGAAGTGCTTGAACTGGAATAATTATGAGACTTATGATTCGGATGTGGAGCTGTTTGCTCAGCGTGAACGGGATCCCAATTTGCCAATACGTCGCTCAATACCGGGCAGTGTGTTTCTAACCACATCCTTCGCGTTGCTGTTGTTGGCCAGTTTTTTAAAGAACAATCGCTTAGCTTAGGCGCTGCGCATTTCGCATGCTTTTAGGTGCTGCCGGCAGGCCTTTGCGCCCAATTAGTTTTTTCGTTTCGGAAATCTAGTCACAACAAATATGTATGTAGGTTCAAAAGCGCATTCAAAATTTATGGTTTAATCTAGCTAGTAATTTATATATTATATATATTTCTTTTCCTTAGTGTAATTCCTTAGTTTGCTTAATTTGTAGATCAAAAGTTTTGTGATTGGTATATACGCGATATGTACCTAACTAACTATATTTATGTGTATGTATTGGTATATATTTACACATACATATATATGTAACTATATATATATATATTATACTCACTGCAAAAAGTTAACTAACCTAGATTGTTGTAAATTTATGATTTTGCTCAATTTATTTAAATATTTTTAGGTTTCTATTTATTGAAATGATAATTTTTTAAATGAAAGACAATTGTTAAAGCTGTGGATCAACAAATACAATAAGCAAATTAATTGTCCGCATTCACTGTTAATCGGAATAGACCACAACCAAAGCATTAAAAGAATCTAAATGAAAATACGCTCAAGTTATTTCTTCCTGCTTCGGGACTGGGTTTCTTTTGTGGAGGAATCCGTTTGTCAATGGCATGAATAATTTAAGATGAAAAACTGCCACTGGGCAAGTGGCGCATTGGAGTTGCATAGCGTGACGGAGCGCACGCCACTTCATTGGAGCTGAAGCTGATGCTGGCAGGAGTTGGAGCAGCACAAGTGGACACTGTTTGTTTAGCCAGCTCGGCGATATGGCGCTGTCGTTGGAATTCATTTGCCAGTTAATTAGCTGGCTGGAGACTGGCAGCCCAAGCCCAGCCAGGCAGGTGGTACCCGGATGGCACCTGGCAAATGGATGCTTTCAGCGCGAGGGATTGGCTGCGTGCAACGTTCCGGCTTCAGCCATTGAATGCAACTTAAGTTATTGCGCTTATTGTTGACACGCGAATTGTGTTGGCAAGACCCACGGGTAACTGCAGCAGTAGATGGAGCAGCAGCTGTGCTCATGCATACCGCCCCACAGGCAATGCGCACTTGAACGCACGCTCCAGCACCCAATCCCAAAAGCCCAGACCACCCCAGCCCAGCCCGGTGCAGCTGCAATGGCTACTCAAACTCTCAGCCTCGCAAACTGTTGTCGTTGTCTTCGCTCTACGTCGTCGTCCAGCCACAGCGCCGGAGTCGCAGTCGGAGTCGCTGTGTGTGAGTCGTCGTGGCACTCTTTCAAATGAGTTTTTATGCGCGCGCGTTTGCCAGCTGCGCTACAGCCAAATGCATGGAGCAGGTCCACGGGTATGTCATGTATATGTCTTTCTTTAATTAAAGATAATTTTGAATTTGATGAATTTATCAATCACATTTTGATACTTTTCATATTTTATATTTATTTATATTTACGATCGATTTTATTATTTTCTTGTTTATACAAAAATGTTTAATTTAAGGTATAAAAATTCTAACACTAATGGAATTTATTCATGTGCTATTTATTATTTTTGTTCATTATTATTATTTTTTTTTTAAATCAGAATATTTTTATGTACAGTATAGTTTTCGGTCCGGGATTTTTAATTGTTTAACACATTTATATATTTCCTGAATGAATTCTATTGATACTTATCTAGCCATAAATCTAAATATTACGTGTAATTATATCAGTAACTGTCTATTAGTGGGTAATTATTCCCATCGTTAGCCTATTATTTACATCTCAATTAGTTGGAAAAATCCATAAGAACCTAATCTTGATAATAATAATGCCTGAAATTGAAAATTTGTTGACTTATTGAAAATTTCTTAATTTTTAATAGATAGTCGTAGTTAGCCAAAAATATGCATATTTGCATAGACTCTAAAATAGTAGCGCCTGCGGCGGGTCGCCTATGTTCGTTGAAATCTCAGCCACACATTCCGGAGACGTTTGCAAATTGGTTTGCATTTGAAGACAAAACGACAGCGACGTCGATGTCGACGGAGCGCAGTAAAATGTGAAATTTGTGCAAACATTGAGACAGTCTCATACCCCCGAATGCACCTTGATGGAAGAGGTTTCGGGAGCGTGACACAAGACTCAACCAAGTAAACTTTGCACGTAGTCAATTTAAATAAATTAACACGCTCTTTCACGTGTGTGGGTGAACAGGGAGAGCGAGAGCGAGAGCGTAATGCGACTTATCGAGCACGAATGAAACACTATGGCACACATACATATCTACATGTACATATATACATATCTGTATGGCAAATGCGTCCCACTGTGCTGCAATATGCCAAAAAATTTGACATGGCCACGTAGCGACGTGAATCGCAGTTGGCATCGCCCATTCCGACAGGGGCTATCAATGTACATTGTCGGCGTCCGGACTCCGGGCGGGTGGGTTTCTCTCACTGCGTGCGGTTACCGAGGGCTTAGCATTGCCAGCGAATTGCCATTGGCACTGCGGTGCCCCTCCTGCAGTATGCAACACGCACGCACACACACACACACTGCTCTGGGTTGAGCCGCGAAGGGGGTGCACGCATAAATCTTCAAGTTTATGGCATCAATAAATGTCGAGGCGAAATAATGATTTCGTCAAGTCGAGCCATTGTGCAATCGCAATCGGAGTAACCCGCCCCTGTTGCTGTTGCTGTTACCGTTTCTATTGTGCGCCCCTTTCGTTGTGGTGCATTCGCGTCAAAGCGGGTGGTTGGCTACTTGGGCAGCACAGCACAGGAATATAGGGTATTCTCGAACTATTTACATTAATGCGAAGCATGATTGCTCTTCAGAAAGGATATCAATTTAAGAGGCCCGATTCGAGCTGAAGTGAATTGTTTGTACACTTCATTTGATTTATTTGAACAAATCAATAATGTATTAAAAAAAATCTATATTATATTTTTCACTTCAAGCTTATAAAGATACCTCTTCATATAAACTCAAATTAAAGTCCACATAAACCATATTTTATAGCAATGCTTACGTTAAGTTCGAGGCAAACCTGAAACCTTTTTCTTCAACGCTCTCTATAAACAAATGCTATAAAATTCGTGGGCTGTGCCACGCCCACGTAAAAGGAAAGGCTTCGCACATTGGGCGTACAATTTATTTATTGAGCGAAATTTACTTTCGAGTTTTATGACAAACTCATCTGCATATGCGCCCAAAGCCAACAGCAGAAAGACGAGCTGAATCATTTACCAGCAGCAGGAGAAGGAGAAGGAGCAGGAGCAGGAGCGGGAGTCGAAGCAGCAGCTGAATCAGAAACAGTAGCAGGATCCGGCGCTGCGTTGGCTAAAGGAGCTGACAGCAGTCGAGCTTATCAATTGTCCCGAGCACAAAGTTTTACGCAGTTTTTACGAGCCGCCCTCGCATGGCAGCGCGCCATAAAAATATCGTAAATTCGCAGAGCGAAAGTTTTTCCAAGCATGAAAGCCCGACGACTCAACTTGGTTTCACTCTGGATCAGCGGCTCGACTCATAAAGCTGGCGGCATCGTAAAAACCTTAATTAATTTTCTAATCAACATTTTTCCTGCATGGAAATCGTCTGCTTCTGAATGGACTGTGCATGTGTGTGTATGTGTCTCTCTCTCTCTCTCTCTCTCTCTCTCTGTCTCCCTCTCGCTCTTACTGTTTTACCATAATTTTTTGGCCCTGTATTTAACTGTTGTTATTGTATTTAACTATGCTCTGGCCTTCAGCTCCATTAGTTCCCAGTTGCCTAAGCCGTCGCTATATGTCAAACTAACGGCTTCTCAAGGGGACTAACAGCCCCCAGCTGGCAGTGGCGCCATCGATTTAAATGTTTGCCCTCCCTGACCCCAAATGTTGCGTGCGGCAATTAAGATTTTCTATGCTATAGTTTCGTCTGTTGATTGTCTAACAGAAGCAAAAGTCCACGAATTTTAATAGAATTTTCAAATTATTTACTTTGAAAGGTATAAAGGATTATGATATAATTATGATCATATCTCTAGAAGAAACGGGAGAGAATCAATATTAATGTCTTTTGTTTTAGTTAAATAATCATAAAAGTGAATATTATATAAAAAATCAATATATATTTTAAATTATTAAATTATATATTTTAATGATATTGGAGTATATAAATACATATAAGAGAGAGGCTATGGATTATTCTGTGATAGTGAACTCAAAGGATCTGCAGGCCCAACTCATTTTCCTCCGATCAACGTTACTACAGAATAGTATTAAAGTTCCAATTATGTCAGTTTGTTGCCGGACCACAGACAAACCATATTCATGTAAATAAATTAAACAATTAGTACAGCTAAAGCTGCATTGTTGTATAGTTTTAATTGTACATTTGTTACGCTGAGGATTGTCTGCAAAAAATATTACGTATACGCCTCGTTATGCAGCAAGGAATTGCGTCTGGGGCCAATTATCATGGACAGTATACATATACATACGTACATACCTATATTGTGCAGCATTGCAAATTAATTTAAATATTTAAAGACTTTAATTATTTGTAACAGGCGAGTCAAGCTCTCAGCAGCAGCCACCAGTTAACATTGCCATCGGAGTAGACGGATGGGGCATGGGCCACGTGGGCCACATGGGCCACATGCCAACATGGCAGCATGCGACAACAGTCAAACAGCCAAGCGTAAACTTAACTGACAAGTGGAGACTTAACTTCCATAACAAATTGCATTCCAATTGCACGTCGAGCAGTCGCCGTGCCGTCGCAGTCCTGACAGCAGCGTCCTGTCCTGCCACACTGAAGTCACAGCCATGAGGCATAAGCAAATACAAACACACACACACACACACACCACACATACGCACGCACACCCACATACACACGCACGCTTAACCACACGTAGAACGCCATTGCTGTTAATTTAAATTGCTTTAAAAAAAAGCTACAGAGATGCAAAAATAAAATGCAAGTCAAAACTCTAGTCAAGCTAACTTGATAGTGTCTAAGATACCCAGTACCAAGAGCTGCAAAGCATTATTCGGCTTTATATACATATATAGGCAAT